ATTTGAAGTGATCCATGAGTTCTTCAATCTTAACCGCATCTAAGATCTTGCTCTCTTCTATCACAGTAACATTAGGTCTAAACCTCTCGGGCAGGGATCTAAGGACTTTTCTAACGATTTTGGTCTCAGAGATCCTTTCACCTAAATTAAAGCTAGAGTTAACTATATCATTCAGTTTCACATAGAATTCATCGAACGATTCATCGTCCTTCATTTTAATCTCTTCAAACTTAGTAGTCAGCATCTGTAATTTAGAGTTTTTTAACAGTTTTGGTACCTTCGTGTGTGGTTTCTAGTATATCCTCAACTTTTTTAACAGTTTCACACATCAACACTCTCCTAAACTCTTCAGCAGACACATCCTTGAACAGACTATGTAATGTTTTACTATTCCAGTTGTATTCATCTAGGTTAATTTTAGTCCGCATATATATGTTAGTAGGTCTGACTGCAACAGTTGTTGAAGATGGAGCCCACCCATTTTGAATGCTAATCCAAATACGTTCATTCAAAGAATTAAGGAAGGCTCTCATTCGAACTTTCCAATAAGAATAGTTGCTTTCATCGAAAAATGGAGGCACAGATAATGACTAACTCATCTAGATGTTATAAAGGGTAGGGAATTGAATTAAGGCTCTAATACCAATTGAAAGTTACGCAGTTCGGCCCTAACAATACCTAGAGGGGAGTGAATAGGTACATTATGCGGAATTAAAAATATTTTACGAATTAAATAAGAACAAGTCACTTTTTAATTCTTCTCAAGATGATTAAACACGCAAGTCATTTTAATCGTAAGTTTGAATACTGCAATTTATATGATCAATCAATAAAAATAATGAAAGCAGTAAATCAACACTACGATGATCACAAAGAAACCCAACTGGGAAAAACTCCGGGCATTTTGCCGGGCAATCCTCTATAAACAATTCAAACAACTTACAGTCTATTAAACTAGACGAACCATAATATATGATCACTCAACTGCACTCCTTACAGCTCTCCTTGGATCCCGTGCTCCCCTGCATCAATCCTTAGCTACTGTTGTCAAAACTCTTTGTGGAATCTACTACCCTACAGTACTCCTAGCCTTGTGGAATCGTCTATTTCCCGTGGATCAACGAAG